CTCGGCCCGACGCGATGAGCTCACTGCCCCCGCTCGCCATTGGACGCGGGTGACGTTGCTCATTTACATGATGGGGCGGGGCCTAGCCACTGACGCCCCCTTAGCTGCTGTTGCCCCGGTGATGCGCGGTAAACGGCACAACAGCGCGCTGCCTTGTGGGTTGACGTCATGGGGGCGGACCGCGCACTGGGGCCGGGTCACCCCGCCCCGGGAGCTCTGTATGACCAAGGCCCCCAGCACCGCCTCCCGCCAAGGCACGTCCCGGGTGGCGTGATGCGCCCGGCCACCAGGCGCTCGCCGCCATGAGGCTCCGCCCCCCGTCCGCGCGTGGAGCCCAGCCGGCGGGGGCGGGGGCGGGGGCTGTGCCGGCCCCCGGGGACGGGAGTGGGTGGATAGGGATCGGGATGGGTAAATACCTCCCTGGTGCCTCGCGCTCCATTGCGCCGACTGTGCCACCCTTAGCATGCCTAGGCCAGGCTTTGTATACGCTGGGGGCTGAAAGCCTAGGGAACTGGTGTCCGGTGGCTTAGCGGGGGTGGGGTCCAGATCTGCCTTCACCCACCCCCACCCCAATATCTGGTGCTGTGTTTGCCCCAGAAGGACAGGGGAGGGGAGAGGAGGGCTGCCAGAAATTGCTGGATAGAAGCGTTTTGATCCTGATACTTTTCAATAGGTGCGCTCTAAAGTGCGGGGTCCAAATTCCTGGCTTTACAGCCGTGAAACTGAGGATCAGCTAGTGACTTGCCCGCGGGGCAGGTCTGTGACCAGACCTGAGCTCATCCATTCAGTAGAACCGGAGTCTGTACCTCAGAACAGTCGCCTACGGTTTTAACTCTGCCAGGACCTGCTATGGATCCCCCCGTGGGGGTGCTCAACTCTAGGCCCCTAAACTTTCTTCCTTAGCGGGCGCACGCGCACACACACACAGTTTCTCCCTTAACCTCTGGACTGGGCTGTTAAGGCAGGAATCCCAACTGCTTACCTGCTTATTACCATTATCATGACTGTCAGGGCTTAATTGGCCGCCATAAAGGCTGGCTATGAGATGGGATATGAGAGAGGAGGGAGGGGCCACCTCCCCAACACTCAAGGCATCCTTGGGACATCTGTGTCTGACCAACAACCTCCGCACACAACCCTTCCATGGTTTTCACTGCACTCCAGATGGAGCCCACTCCTCAGCCAAGTGGTGGAGGCTCCACACCCTCCTTCCCTGACACCCTCTGACTTTTCACCCTCAGCCTTGGCTTCCCAGCTCGTTACTGCGCCAGGGCCTTTGCGTGTGCTATGCCATATGCCTGCTGATCCCTTGTCCCAGGGTAAATATGTGTCCTCAGAGAGGCTCCTCACACTCACCTTGTTCCCATTATATCCTTGGAACCATCCAGAATGATGGATGGATCATAGGTCCGGAGAAGGCAGAGACTTTGTCAATCCTGAGCCTGGTGGGTCCCTAACTCTCTCCACAGGGCCTAGCATACAGTGGACAGAGAGCATTAAAGAACACTGCCTGGCCAGTTTTCCTGTGGCAGCCTCTGGCTTTGGTTTGTGTGACTGACCTGTGAGCACAAGTAACTCTCCCCCCTACCCCCACCACCACCCACCAAGGTCCCTTCCTCACCTGGCCCTGCTCCTTACTGGGCTGTGGAGCAAGAAGGTGATGAGGGATGCTGTGACCATGAGCAAGAGTCCTGGCCTGGCCTGGAAGACAGAGGGCTGGGTGTATGGGTGAGGGTCTGCGTATTCATGTGTGGAGCATGTGTATATGTATGTGTCTATTTGTTTCCAGGCGTGTGGGTCTCTTTGCCCTCCACATCTGTCCTCTTGGGTCCCAGCCTGGGCAAAGGGACCCCTAGTGGGAGGGAGTACTGCCCCAGCCCAGCCCTGGGATCCCTCCCTGGGGTAACATTGGAGGAAAAGGGGCCATGCTTCTCCCCAAGGCAGGAGAGTGAGTGGACAGCCTAGGGAGGCTCCACCCTGACCTTGGGCCTTGACTTTGATAGGTGGGTGAATAGTGAACTGTGGGCAGAGCCAGCCTGAGCTGAAGGATTGACCAGCAGGTCAATGGGAAATAGAGGTATAGGGAGGCCAAGGCAGGTTACCTCTCTTGAGTCTTGGTTTCCTCTTCATAAAAACAGAGCAAATAATCCTACCTACCTCATGGAGCATTGTGATTTTGACTGGATTTGCAAAAATAGTATGGGCTCAATAGATGTTCTTTATTCTTTAACTTTATTATTTGGCTAAACTTAACCGTGGTTCTTTGGTCTGGAGTTCCCTTAACCTGGAGTGCCCTTCCTTAGCCTCCAAGCAAATTCCTACTCATCCTTCAAAACCCACTTCCAATGTTTCCTCCTCCAATAAGCCTTCCTTAACCAGGCCCATGAGGATTTCTCTAGACTCCTTTCATATGGCTGAGTCCTGTTCACCATTTGTGTCTGGCTCTATTTACCCCAGACAAGGAAGGGGAGGGTCCTTGAGGCTGGGTGGGGAGGACTTCTCTTACCCTCTAAGTGTGCGACACTGCCTTTGGTAGACTCTCCTCCAAGGCTTGACCCCTTCAGGCTCCTCTGCTTGCACTTATTAGTCCCTCTGACCCATTGCCCTCCCCTACCCTCTGTTTCCTCCCAGCCAGGAAGCCCTCTGGAACACTAGTCCTGCCCCTCCATTTGGACCAGCTCCGACCTCACAGAGCTGGGAGGTCGGGGACTATGTCCAGATCTGTCCATGGGGACTTCTCAGGCAGGTCAAGGGGGGCCCTAAATCCGTCAAACAGACCCATGCAATGAACTAGGGAAAATTCCCATTCATTCATCCATTCACTCTACAAAAATTGATTGTGTACCTACTATGAGCAGAGTGATGGGGACACTCTTGAATGACACAAACACCCTCACCCTCCCAGCACACAGTCTGAAGGAGGAAGGTAACAAACAGCTTGGAGGAGAATAAATGGTGCCTTTTCCATGGAGGGTGAAAGGGGGTGTTTTAGAGTTAAGTAATCTGGGAGGGGCACCCCAGAAGGTGATGCTGAATGAAGGAGGAGCTGGAGCAAACCAGGAGACAATTTGAGGGAAAAGTGTCTGGTACAGTGGGAACAGCAAATGCAAAGGCTCTGGGGCAGAAGTCAGCTCGCCACATTGATGGAGGGAAGAGACAGATGAGGCTGGATTGGGAGAGCCAAGGAAAGACAGTAGAAGGAAAGCCAGGGTGGCAGGGCCTCCACCCAAAACCGAGTGGGTGGTACTTGTTCCAAGGGCAGTGGGATTGAGGGAGGAGTCGGTGATAGGGCTCACCTAGGACTGCATTTTCACCTTTATTCTCCCAGCTAGCTACTCTGCAAGTCCAGAGGGGGCGCGCGACCTGCCCAGGGTCACACAGCCCAGGCCTGATCATAACTCGGCCCAGTCCCACCCCCGCTTTCCCAACAAAGGTTGAACCTGAGGCCCACCCCCACCCCACCCCCATCTCCCTGACAAGGTTCGAATCCTCGCTGCTCTGGCCTCTCCACAGCGCCACGGCACAAAGAGATCTGCTTTCTTGTTTAAAGCAATTTGCAATTCGGTTTAACGTTTAGTCCTTATTTGAAGACCCAGAGACCTAAAATCTACTGGATAAAACGGAAAGCCCCCAAAGAAAGAGAAAAAAATAGTTAAGCAGGAAACAGAAAGGGGTGAGGCTGAGAGGCCTCCCAGGGGTGAGGCTTGCCCGGGACGGTCCTCAGCGATCTGGACCGCACGAGGCTGGGTGCGGATTGTAGGGACAGTCCCCCGGAGCTGGAGAGGGCGGGACTGGAGAGGGCGGGGCTGACAGGGATCCAGGTGGCAGGACTCTGCGGGGCGTCTGAGGAAGGGGCGCCCGCCATGGGCGAGGGGCGCGGCGCATTCCTGAGGATCGGGTTACGGGTGAAAACTGCTGCCCCTCCCTCCCCTCCAGCCCCGCTTCCGCCCTCGGCTGTTGCAGGATGGGCGGTCAACTCCCCTGTCCAGCGCAGGTGTTTCTACAGCCACAGGGAGGGGACCCAAGCCCTGTCCTCTGGGCTGGCACCGGCTCTTTCCAGTCTCACGGGACCATTTTGCAGTTCAGGCGTCTTCAGCCCCCTTCAGCACTGATGGAACCATATTGACACCTGGCAGAGCCGGCTTTATGACCACTGTCCCTGCTGACCACTTTCCGAGTCTGTGATGTGTTCTCAGCTTCCCACAGGCGGGGGAGAGCCATTCGGTCTAGTGTTTGCTGACTGACCAACGATGCAGGGTAAGTAAGACAGGAAGGGTTCCCACAAGCAGAAAACACCTCATACCAGCCTCCCCCACCCCTAGGACAAATGGGACCTCTTCACTCACCCAGTGTAAATTTAATGCGTATTTGCTGTATACCCAGGGCCAGATGAGGCCCTTTCACAGATAGATTTTGAGGAACCACAGGATTTGGGGGCCAGAGGGTGGTGAATTAGATTTTAGTAGACTAACTTCAGAAGTTGATTTGTTTTTTGCTTTGGGCCAGCCTCAGCATAACCATTTATCCATTCCACCACCCTCTGTTGAACACCTACTGTGTGCTCAGCTCTATGCTAGTTGAGGGTTTTCAACACACACACACACACACCATCAGCTCTTGAGAATCATGGGAGACAGGAAACAACCACCTTCATAAAGAAGCACTGTCATTATTTTCCCTTTAGTTCGACACTCCTTTTCTGTTTTTACTTCAGTAAATCTATTTCAAAAGGGAAACTTCATGTCACCACCAAGAATGGAAAAGCAGTTTCTCTTGCCATAAATAGAAGGAAACCAAAAAATGAAATGAGAGCAAAATGCAGGCATCCCCCCATCAAGGACACTCTGGGCCAAGCCCGGATCAGGAATATCCAAATGTCCATACAGCAGTAAAGGTAGGTAAGCCCAAAACCAAGCCAAAGAACACTGCCAGAGGGACCCGCTCAGTGTTCCTGTTCCTGAGGGCCCAAGCGCACAGTTGGTGCTCAGTGTGTCCAGCCTCAGTGGTGAGCACCTATATTTGGGGTTTGCCTGCATCATTAGGCACTCTCCCAGGGCCCTCTGGGTTACCGACTCATTCTGGGGAACAGATGGAGGCAGTGGTGGTAGTCAGTGGCCTCTTGGAGGTGGGACCACACAGAGCCTCTGTGGGGAGGCTTCAGGTTGGTTAAGTGGAGGCTCCCACTTCCACCTCAAAACCTTGGGGTTGTCCCCACCCACAGTCCTGTGGGCCCCTGCCTGATGTCCTCCAAATAGCTGTGGGTCCCTGATGTCCTTCCTTGGCTGCCTTGGGATTGGGGAGAAGGTTGTGTGAATCAATGAATACATGAATAAATAATTCAGCGGATGCAGTAATGGATGAGTAACGGAAGTTAGTGAAGTAATGAACGAGCGAGGGAATAAATGAGGGGCTGCATCCATGCTGCCAAGATTGGAAGCCCTCTCGGCATTTTTCCTTAATATCCCACAGCTGCCCCCCAAAAGGGACACCTGTCCCCATTTTTCAGATCCATACACGAGGATCTGAGTAAAGCTTGGCTCCAATCTTAGGAGGACAGACTGGAATCCAGGTGCATCTGTGCAAGAGGACGGGGCTCCCAGTGCCTGACCAGTGCAGAGGAGAGCTGGAACAGGACTCCGGGCCTGCCACCAGGGCCTCATGGAAAGGCCCTAGGTCCCGGTGAGGGAATAGACTGAATGGGGGAGCGACAGGCAGCTGAGGGAGCAGGGAGGCGGCAGAGTGGAATGGGGAGGGGCAGGCAGAGTCCCATTCGATCAGGAAGGGGCCCCAAGTTAGGAGCGTTCTCTCCCAGACGTGGGGCATTTAAACGTCAGCCCAGTCCCTCTCGGGCGTGGGGGCGGGGAGAATCCCCTCCGAACCTGAGGACGCTTCCTTGAACTACCTCGCGCCCCCCATGTCTCCCCCACTTCCCCCCTGCCCCCGCCACCGCCTCTCCGGGGAGGAAGTGGTGAGGATGCGGGGGAGGGCCCCCCATTCTCACTTCCCCTAGGGCCAGGCGGGGCCTGAGGATCCTCTCCCCCGCCTCAAGAATGGGGGCCCCCCAGGGGTACGGGCCGGGGAGCCCTAAAGTCTCTGGGTTTTGCTGTTTCTCATCTGGAAGATGGGGGGAAGAAACTCGAGCTCGAAATAGGAAATTGCTTGATAAGAGGACCCCGCCCCAGGCCCTAGTAGCTTCCCCGGGGCGGGGAGACCCAGCCGGACTAGGACACGGACACGCCCAGCCCTAGAGGGGTCTGGGCCGGGCTAAGGGAGGGATGTCGCAGTAAACAGGTCTTGGATGGGGCGGGAGACGCATTCCAGACGGAGGGAAGGGAGCAGGCAAAGGCCTGGAGGCGGGACGGGACCTCCCACCTGGCCAGGCGGCTGGCCCCGCCCACGACTCCCCCAGTCGGTCTCTCTAACCTGGCTCTCCTCTTACTTGGGGTGGGAGAGAAAAAGGATCTCAGGAATCTCAGCGCAGCGTGCAGCAGCGGAAGAGTTAACCGCGCGCGGCGGCGGGACAGAGTGGTGAGGGGGGCGAGTGGCGTCAGCGCGGACGTCAGGGCGAGGCAGGGCAGCGTAGACACCGGCGCTCGGGCCACGCAGGAGGCCGTGGGTGTGTTGGGGAGGGTCTACCCTGCAGTTTTCCCGACGCTGCGCCTACTGAGCAGGAAACTGAGGCATGGGAAGGGGTGCGTGGTTTAGCTGGGGCTGAACCCTGGCTGTCGGGCCCCAACTCGCCCACGTTTCCCACCGCCGCCCTTACCACTAACCTGTGTCCGCGTTGAGACAGTCTCCAGGGTCGCCCGGCTGGGACCAACTATTTGTTTGTTTCTTTGTTTTTTGTCTTGTTTTCCAGCGCGCAAAAACGCCCACAAAAGCGCTGACCTGCTCTGAACTGTGTCCCAGTTAGTTGCCACATCTGCGTGGGCCTCAGTTTCCCCAACCAGACAATGGGGAGAGAGTTGACATTCACGGCGGGGGTAGGATGGGAAGGGATTTCCACCTGCAGGGGCGGGGTGGGGCGGGAGCGCGGACCGGGAACCGGGAGCCCAGACATCTGAGTGAAGGACCCTGCGAGAAGGGATTCGAATTCCCGCTGGCCCCGGCCTCCCTCATCCCTTCCCCCCGCCTCTCCTTCTCCTTCCTCCTCCCCCTCTCGTTCCACCCGGCCACTTCTCCCCAACTCCTCTCTCCCCCTTTTCTTTTCCATCCCCCCCGCTTGCCCAGCTCCGCCGCCCTGCGGGGCCGCTAATTAAATACAGGGCTGGAGGGGGAGGGTCACGGCACGCAGTTAACCCCTTCCCAGCCGGGTTCCGGAAGCCTGCCTGGAGCAGGGGAGGGGATGATTGTCTGCTGATGAACCCACCTCCGCCCAGGACTTGAGGCCCTAGGACAAGCCCATTTGATGAATAGGTAGACTGAGGCCAAGGGGCCTGTTCCAAGGTCTGAGCAAGGCCGGATTAATCAGGGCCTCCTGATACGAGGGCGGAGGCATAGAAATAACTGGAATGAATGGAGAGATAGCAACTGTGAGATAAACGATAGAAAGGCAGGGATGGAAAGAGGGATAGCATGAGAGGGAAGAAAGAAAAGTCTAGTGGAGCCAGAGAGAAAGGAGAGAGGAGGAGAGACAGCTGGGGCAGCCTGGAGACAGGAAGAGACATTTATCAATCCATGCTTTTCACTGTGATCCATACCCTTCAGCTGAGGACTGGAACCATCTTCAGTCTCAGAATAAAGAGGTAACCCTATAAATCTCTACAGTGAGGATGGAGTGACTGTCTCCCAGGGCTACACAATTGGGGCTGGTGGGGACATGGTGGCCCCAGGGACAATCAGTATGTATGTCAATAGGGGACTCATAGGCCACCCCAACCTGGTCTGGAGGCCCTAGAGCAGCCTCCCTGGCATACGTTGCCCTCTGCCCACTGCCCTCTGACCGGCCTAAACTGAGGGCCAACCTGCCCAGGGAGCTGAAGATCAACCCGAGCCCATATCCTGTCCTTGCAACTCTGGGTCACGTAGAGAGGATCCAGACACCGGCCTTTCTCTGCTTAGTTCTCCCTTTGCTCTGCACACAAGCTTGGTAAACTGAGGCTCTGAGAGGGGCCCACATTCTTGGGGTGGTAACAACTGGAAAAATACGTAATATATAACGTCAGGCAGTGGCAAGAGCTATGAAGAACTCTTGGGGTTCAGAGGGCCTGTGACACCTTCAGACAAAGGGAGTGCTGTGAGCATATCTCCGGGAAGAGTGTTCCTGAAAACTGGAATAGCACGTGCAAAGGCCCGGAGGTAGGAATGTATAGCATGTTGGAGAATTAAGGAGGAGGCCTGGGAGTGTGATGAGAAGAGGGGAGATGGGAGGAAGATAAGGGTGGAGGGGATCACAGGGGCACCCCGGTCATCAGCAGCTGGGGTGGCAGGTAGTTAGAGTCCTCACCAGCCTTGGTGAAGCCTGTGACTATCCTTACATCAGTTACTCCACCAGGGCCTACGGTCCAGAGAAGGCAGGGGAGGCTCAAGGGGCATAGGGGCTGTCCAGGGTCATAGGAACCCATGTTCCTTCTGAGTGCCACCCTGGCCTCTCCACACCCACTGTGGCTCCTTCCTTTGGCCCATCTTCCTGTGACTCCCTAGCTCTGCCTACTTTCTGCCATCCAGCTGCCAGCTCTTGCCCATGATATTTCCTCACCTGCGGTGCCCACTGGATGAGACAGTCCCCATCCCCTCCCGGGCAGAGCCTGAAAACCCTAAAGGGAGGGGATGGCTCAAGAAACAAAAGGGCTGAGAGGAATACAGGAAGGTGAGCATTGTGGTCCTCGAGTGCTGTCCTCAGTCTGGGTAAAAATAGATGCCCCCCCCTCTGCCTCTGGCCCCTGCCCCCTGTGAGGAGGCGGTGGTGAAGTGGCTGCTATGACGAGGGATGTGCTCGGAGGAGCATCCGGCAGAGCCTGCGTTGCCATGGCAATGATGACTCAGAGGCAGAGGCAGGTAGTAGCATCTGGTACCCCGCAGGCCTGCCCCTGTGCTCACAGCACTCCCCAGCCCCCACCCTGTAGCCTTCACTCTGGGGGGCGGCTTCTGAGACTGGAGAGGGATAAGCAAGATCTTTGGGGCAGCTGGATTAATTCCTGCACCTGCTGGAAGGTGTGAGATGTTGAGGCCCCTCTCCCTTCTCCCAGTCTCTCACTCTCTCCATCTCAGAGTACAGCCCAGACAGACCCTTCCCCACACCCCCCAGGACCTGCAGCTGCTGTCTAACCCCCATCCTCTCTCCCCCAGGTGTCCTTCTCCAGCCATACCAGCCTGTGCTTTTCCTTCAACACGCCAGCTCATTCCTACCTCAGGTCCTTTGCATGTGCTGGTCTTCCTGCCTGGAAGACTCTGAGGGTCTTCTGGCATTCTTGGTTTCCTTATGATCTGTCTCTACCTCCATCTCCAGAGTATAAAGACCTACGAGATGGCCTGTGGTTCCTCCAGAGGCCTGTCTGCCTATCTCTGCTTTTCATTTACCCCACTGGGAAATGGGCATGGTGATCACAGTACTAACTCATTGAAGGGGGTTGGGGGTGGAGATTAAGTGTTTAGAATTGTGCCTAGCAGGGAGTAAACACTTCTTTAAAAACAATCCAAAGTCTGCGAGCTGATGAAGGATAAACACAATGTGGTCCATCCACACAGTAGAATATTAGTCATGAAAAAGTGAAGCACTATACATACAACATGAATGAACCTTGGAAACATGATGTTGAGTGAGAGAAACCAGACACAAAAGGCCACATGTTGCATGATTCCATTTATGTGAAATGTCCAGAACAAGTAAATCCATAGAGACAGGAAACACATGGTTGCCAGGGGCTGGGGGAGGTGGGAATGGGTATGGGGTTTATTTTTGAGGTAATGAAAATGCTCTAGAACCAGATAGAGGTGGTAAGTTGTACAATATTTTGAAGGACACGAAATGCCATGAACTGTTCATTGAAAAATAGTTAATTTTATGTTAGTGAATCTTATCTCCAGAATAATAATAAAAAGGACATTGGGTAAAAACAAAGGAAATCTGAATAAAGTGTGGACTTTAGTCAATAGTGGCCAGATGCTGCGTCTCCAAGATGCCTAGAACACAACTGCCCTGGGGCCTTTACACCTGCTGTCCCTCTAGCTAGAGGCTTTAGGAGACTGAGAAGCTGGATCAGACCGTGGTGGCCTGAGCTGCAGTCAAATCAGTTTGCAACCCCCAACTTCCTCCAGCCACCAGGAAGGTCAAGGTGCCTGTTGGTTGGGACAGTACACCAGGAGTGTGAGTGGCTGGGATGATGTCAATTACGTTTTGTTGCCTTGGAGGAGAGAGTTTGCCCCCCAAGGGAGGAATCAGGACCTGCTACCTATGGTGGGGTCCTATGGTAGAGGAAGTGATGGAGTTCAGTTTCGGTGGGGGCGCTGTTGGGGAGCATGCTTCCTGCAGCCTCGTGAACACAAACAGCAAGAATCATTTTCTCGTTTTTAAGGAAAACTGAGTACGATCTCCCTGGTCAGCATCACTGTGCTCCAGCTTCCTGGCTCCAGGAACAGAATTATGGGGGTTTCAGAAAAGGCCACCCTTCCAGAAGGTTCTTGGGAAACTATGTCTAAGTCTCTCCATGGTGACAGGGACAGAGGGAGGCCACCATGCTGCCTTCCACACCCACTTGGGAACACCCCCAGCCCTGGTTGCCAGGAACAGTCAGTGTGCTGGAGGGGCACAGCATAGAGGGACAGACCCCGGGGTGCTCACAGGGACGGTTTTAAAGGGAATGAGAGGGGAAGACTCGAGGACACACTTGAGTATTTTTAGGAACTGAATGCAGCCCTGAAATATTTCCACGGCCACTCCCGAGAGTGAGCTGGGTGACTATTTCAGTGCCTGGTTCCAGTGGAGGCGGGGTGGGTGAGTCACCTCTGGGTGGCTGGGCCCAGACCAAGAGGGGGCTTTTTGAGCAGAACTGGAGACTTACAAGGTGACTGCTCACCAGCCCAGGCCAGGTATCTGGTGCTGCCTCCAGGGCACGGAGGGCAGTGGCCTGGCAGCTGCCCATAGAGTGGCACCACTGCTCACCTTGGACAGTGGACCAATCACACTGACCACTGAGGCTTACAGAGATGAAGAGGGTCCCTGGTGAGGCTTCAAACGCCATAGGTGTTTAGTGAATAGCCACTCTGAGACAGTTTCGAGTAGGAATGGAGCACTTGCTGTATACCTTCTGTAACCCTTCCAACAACCCCCATGGAGTCCACCATTATCCCTGCTACCCATGAGGAAACTAAAACAGTGGGGTTAAACTTGCAGGGGTCCTTGATGCCTCAAACCTTGTCTCTCAGCTGAAGCTAAAGTCAGGGTAATGATGTGTTTTTTTTTTTTTTTAAATTCCTACTGCACCTGGTCTTCCTAGGTGGTCTTCCCATCCAAGTACTAACCAGGCCTGACCCTGCTTAACTTCCGAGATCAGACATTGGGCTTGTTCAGGGTAGACCATAGACCATGGCTCCACTGGGGCACAAACCCAGGACCTTCTGCGTGTAAAGCAGATGTGCTAACCACAACACTATAGAACCACGTCCAGGGGAGTGAACTTTAAGGCTTGAAAATGACTCTCCACAGGGGAGTGAATTTTAAGGCAGGAGCCAACCTTGCCTTTCTCCTGCCTCCAGGTTCCTGACTCTGCGCCTGACACAGTGCGAACTAAAAGAAGGTAAATGGATCTGCCAAGGTTCCAGGAGGCAACAGAGGGAGGAATTCCAAGGAGGTTCTGGAGCTGTGTGACTTGCAATGGGGCACTCAACCTCTCTGTACCTGTGTGTGTGAGCAGGCCACAGAAGCTCAGGGGCTTTGCACTTGCTATTCCCTGCTCTCTTCCGTGGCCAGTGGCTTCTTGACCTGGATCTGGTTTGACTGTGTCCCCTCAGAGAGGCCTCCCCCTCCACTCTGTGGAAAGGTCCTACCTTAGCATCCTGGGCTTCCTGTGGAATAGGGAGCCCATCTACCTATGTCCTCATGGCACCCTTGCCCTTTCTGCCACCTCCATGGGCTCCACCCTGGGCTGAGCCCCCAGCAATGCCTCCTCCTGGTTTTCTGGCTTCCACCCTTGCTTCAAGTGTGTTCTGGAACCCTCTGTGGCCTCACTCAAGGCCTGTACCTGTCTCATTTCCTGACCCCCTCACTTTTCTCCCATCACCGACCTGCTCAGGGCCTTTGCACAGGCTGTTCCTCCCT